CACACACACACACATATATACACATCATTCTCTTTTTCTATTTTTGTTTCCATTTCTGTGTTTCTGTGGATGTCGGTATGTAGTTATATATGTTAATATATATATGAATGTGGATATATATATATATATATCCACATTCATGCATGCATGCACGTGTCCTAGTTTGGTTTCCATTGCTGTGATACAGAGGATGGCCGAAAGCAGCTTAAGGAGTTAAAGGGAATATTTGATTTGCAGGATATAGTCCATCATTTAGGGAAACCAAGGCAGCAAATAAAGGCAGGAACTTTGAATTTGTAAACATTGAGGAAATCTGCTTACTGACTTCAGCTACCCTTATATACTTTACGGCCATGGGTCCAAAAGTGGTACCTTTACATTACCTTTGCCTCCTAAGTAGATCAACAACTTAAAAAATGTTTGCAGATATGATATGACCAATGGCTAAACTGAAGAAAGCATTTCTGCAACTAAGAGTCAGTCTTCCATGTATGTAAAGTCAATAAACATCATTAGGTATCACAAAACGAAAATAACTTGTGAAAATAAAATAAAAACACTGATATTTAATATAAGTTTTGCACTTCAATATGATTTTGTTGAAATGTTTTATATTTTATAATTTTGATATACTTAACAATGGTTCATACTTTTTAATTAGGATATAAGTGGCACTAAGAACCCAAAAGGAAACCAATTGCCTTCTACAGCAATCCACTCAGACCAGACAGACCTCTCTCTTTTCCATTCTGAGCTTCTGCAGAAAGAAGGGAGAAACTTATTGGGTGGGGAAGATTAATGAGAAAAATAGACATGATTGAGAGATCCATATTTAAAGTTGACTATCCAAAATTCTCACCACTGAAATACTGTTGAAGGGCTTCCAATTATTGGAGAATATATTGAGGAATATAAATCTTTCTTATAAAACAATTTTTCTATGTTAAAATACTGTTTTTATTCATAAAATGATTTCAGTTAGTTAAGATTAAAACTTTCCATTAGGTATGTTCAGATTTTTAAGACTGTAACATGATATCACCATTTGCAAAATGTATGTTTTGCAAAGTGAACTGTGGAACATGGTTATAAAAATTGTAACAAAATTTAATAATATTTTAAGATTACATTGTTGTGTTACATTGGTCTGCAATTATAACTATCGCAGGTCACATGTGAATGACAGACTAGTATCATTATACAATTTCTTTCATTGTTTCTTAATAAATAATAAGTATTTGTCTATGTTAATGAGTTCTACATGACTTCTATGCCTATTATTAGATTACATAAAGAATACTCTATCAAGAAAGTATCAAATGTTATCTAACCAACCCATTACACAGAATACTTAATTTTATATTGAAATAAATGGATTTTGGGATAAAATTCTGCAATATTTTGCAACTGCATTGGAAATCCACGAATAAGTCATTCATGAAATTAAGAGTTACTACATTAAGCTACTGAATGAAAGATAAAGATGACACTAGAAAACAAATATAACAGCATAGAAGTGCCTGCCAGAAGGCCACGATTTTCAAAGAAATATGGAATCTGAAGTCAGGTCACATTAGGGTATCCTTTAAAGCAATGTACCTTGGAAACATATTCAGTTTCCAGCATTGTTTCATTATAGTTGATTGGCTGCAGAAAATATCATGGGGTCATGTAGGCACCAATAAGAGAAGCCCAGGAAGGATGATCAACACCTGAGAAATTGCCACCATTAAATAGGAATGTATTTCTGTGAGACGTTTCCTTGACAACGAGTAATGGGAAATCGCCAAGCACATTGGGATTGGTACACACATTGTACAGATGGTTCTGAGTTGTGATTAGTGTTTTATGAAAGAATCAGATACTAAGTAGAATATGTGTGATACACATATTTTATTATACATATATTTATTAGTAGGTAAAATGTAAATTTTAATACAATGTGAATGGATAAACGCAGATAAGCTTGGGGCATATATTTTGGTGCAGAATGCCTGTGCATTGTCACAGGTGAGAGTATTGAGCACTGTCCAACACCTTTTACAACTTGGATAACTTTAGTTTCTGGATAATGACTATATTAGCAGTACAATTCCTGAAACCAGGGGGCAAATATTAGGCTACAACTTCCTGTTTGATTCTTCTCAAGCTATTAACCATACTGGAGTGGTTGTAGATGGGAGAATCCAGGCAGATACTATATGGACTATGCAGGATACTGGTGACAAACCAGGTTACAGGAAGAGAAGGAGTGCTCTACAGTCTCCAGTCAGTCTCCTTCCTTTCAGTTCGACTAACTCATATTTTTTCTCTTTCTTTGAAAGGGCTTCAATAACTTCCAAGTAAATCTGTATCAATCAAAATAAATGCAAAAGTGTCATGATGGAAGATGTTTCTGAAGTCCGGTGCCCATTTTGACATCATGAATACAGGACAACTGACATTATCTCTCCCCTCCTTGGTTTCATAATCTATACATGTAAAAATTGAACTACATTTTCAACAAACATCTTTTCTGATTCAAATGAAAAAAACATGAAGTTTAACCCAGTGATCTTGAAGTCTCAATGGAGGCTTAATTACTGTGTTTTAGACAGGTATCTGTATTTAATAACAAGGATATTTTCTCAGGAACTGTTCTTAGGAAATTCCTCTACTGCACAAATATTAGAGACTCTGTGTACACAAACTGGGATGCTGTATACAATCAAAGTATATGTGGTCCACAGTAGACAAAAATAAAAATATCTATCTATCTATCTAT